ATCTATATCATTACATTTTTTCCATCTTTTCAATTGAACAAAACTGACTAATGAACAACAACTGCTCCATATTGTTACGGTTTTGTTGTAAGTGAACTCATTTACTTTAACACGAGTCATCTTAGTTTCCTGCACACAATAATTCGTATTCAATCTCGTTTTGTAATACACAGCACTATTAATTTTGATTCAGCCATATACACATGTACATATATCAATACAGCCGGTTTTTAGAAGAATAAAACAATTTTTGCTGTAATTTTACTTTCAACGTTTCCTTAAAAGCGTACAATTTGATTTTGAAATCGCATAAGAAACAAATAATGCGTCTATTAAACTGACGGCGTGCATCGTAAATACGTTTCTTTTAAATTTTCGGATCAATCACCAAAACGGATTATAGCTAGCTAGAAATAAGTATCAGAATCAACAATACCCTAAAGCATATATATACAAATATATAAATATTTGGGGCGGAATAGCTCTGTTAAAGGTCATTGTAGAAAAGGCTTGTTTGAACACAAAAAACGTGAAAGTTTTGAAAAGTTTACCGCAAGAGGAACATCGTACATATCTTGCTTGTTCACATCTATTGATTTTCTAGGATTTGTTGTTAGAAAGAGATTGCTCGTACATGAAAAATCAACAGGTTCCAGCGTGATGAGAAATATGTTAATGAATGGATGATTGGTCTGTCGTTTGTCATCGGCTTGTTATTGAACTGTATTCAAGGATGAAGTGCACCCTTGTAGTAATCTTTTAAATTGTTACGGTCTGTTAAAGTTTCACAATGGAAACGTAGCACATCTCACAGTGATGTTTCTCTTATCTTTACGTTGCCTAAAAAAAATTTCACGTTTTTGTCGATAATAGGTTCAACTTGAAACTATGTACAAAACATCCTGAGAACTCCGGTGCACCTGCCTAAATATTACTATGCGAAATGCATTATACCCAGCCAGTCCAAGTAGAGCCAACTAGATTCTCTTTATTTGGCATACTTTTGTTTCTTGAGGAATGAAAGCTAATAAGACATCCATTCAAAGCTCCTTATGCACAACTTGGAATCTATTTAACAGTCGTAAGTATGAGCGTCGCCGGGCTGAAAAAACACTGGCTTTTCTTTCAACGGTCGGCTCTATTGCATTAAGTTTGTTTTTATTTTATTTTTTTCTTCTGCACACAATTGAACAGATTCAAAGACATGTATGTACGCATATACATATATTTTGCACGCTTCAACGATATTGAATATATTCTATGGCTTAAAGCCTAACAATAATACTTTGACGCTGAGTTGTCGACATATCATTTAAACCGTTATGTTCTCTTTTGAAAATTCCTTAAAACCTATCTCTGCTAGTAAAGGCGATTCAAAATTTTCTTTATTTTTCTTTTATTTCTTTAATTAAATATCATATCATATCATTTGCCGCTCGATCAGCCTACACATGACGTATTAATTTTTTCGCCGGATGTTGTAATTATGTTCCTTAATTTGTTGATGGTGCTCCATCTCGGTGTCGAAGGATACCGAATAGCTTGTAACACAGAAAAATTGTCAGTAACAATGACGGTTTTGAGTTTGTTTTTATGGGCAAGGTTCGCAGCGTGAAGGATAGCTCTGTCTTCGGTTGTGAAAGTTGAAGTACTTTCGTGAAATATGTGATTGAGAATAACCTGTCCTGAAGCATCTAACACGGCACAAGCAGGAGGCAGGCCAGAAGATTTTGACCCGCCTGTGTATAAAAGATTCATAACAATAAGATTGACTTGATATTTTATAAACACAACTTGGAATGGATAAGAAAAAGATGAAGAATTCTTTTACTATTTTAACGTTTACCGTTGAATTTAGAAGGTGAGCACAGCTTGTGATTTATTGTTGGGCATGTAGAAACTTATAAAAAAAAACTTCTTCTACGTGAATTTTTTAAGGCTTCCCGTGGTTTAAGTCAACAGACGGGCGGAGACAATATAAAATAGTTTGGTGCTCCAAAATGTATATGTGATGTATACATTTGACGACCTTTCATAATGCATATTTCTGCATGTTATAAGAACAATATGGCCAAACTAATATGGATCTATTTTTCCCGATTTCGATATAAAGCAAGAGCTCTTTAAAAATGTTTTGCTAAATATTAAGTGTTTGCAAAAATTCTGATTACTTTTTCACTTCAAAATGGCATTTATTGTGGAAAATTGATACGATATACTTTAATCAAGACGGTTTCCATCATTTTCTACAACATTTTACAATATTTTTCGCAACGTGACCGAAATCGTGTCGAAAGAATTTGTATTAGTTTGGTTGCGATCCATCCACCGACCCATTTTCGCACTTCTGCAACTTTGTGGATCCGCGTACCATCCAAGCCATGCCACAACAATCTGAACAAGTGGTAATCAGGAAACGTTACGTCTGTCAAGTACGCTGGTTGTGGCAGAACATCCCTTCCGAGCTGGACAACCTTTGCAACAAGCGGCCAAAAAAAGGCGTTTTCAATCAATTCACGTTGAAACCAAAACCGATAATTTGGGAGATGATGGAGAAGCATTGCCATAAGCCTCTGAACGTGTTTGGTGGGCTTCGGCAGCAGATTTCTTCAAACAAATAATAAAAGTAATGAATTTAGAAGAATAAGAAGTTTGAGCTCGTCATGATTAGCGTCGGCATACGTTGAATAAATCAATAATATTGAATGGAACTCTGTTATCTTGGGTAGAGGAAGGCCCAAACCATCGAATTCAACCATTATGTAGTCGGGTATTTCCCATTTCTTTATCATTTTTATCTGTAGAAGTCGTTGATTAAAATTTTTGCAAGTGCCTAATATGTGGAGGAAAGACGGCTTGACAACTTTTTTTCGAAAAAGGTTAATTTTTTTGTTTTTTTTACATAATTTCTAATAAGAGTAAAATATTTCGCAAAAAAATTAGAATAACAACAATATTAAATTAATAAAAGTTTTTGTATGTCATAAAATTTTGTTTTTTTTTCTTGAAATCTAAAATTAATTGCGTTAAAAACACTTACGTATAATAATGTATATATATATATATATATTACAATCGTTCAATGGTATTTGTATCGTATATAATGACCAAAATTTGCACTATGTGTGCAGTTGAATGTACACACATACAATTGTATAAACTTTCTTTTTCACTTGAGTGTTCATCTAAATAATAATAAACTTGTAATATACTCTTATTATAATCAAGAGCGATGATATGTTGGTAGCGCTACCTCCTAACGTTATAATGAAATAAATACGAATCTATCAATACTAAATGTATAAAGAAATAGATATATGTATGTATATAAATACGTATATACTATATATATATGCATTTAATGCTTTGATGTCAAATAGTAATGAAGTTATATATGTATATATTATATTTTGTGCAGTTAAATAAATCTTACGGTCGGCCTTCCATTTCATCGCATACGAGTTAATAACTTTTACATAAAGTTTACAAAAGAGTTGTAAGCAAAGCATTACCTTTTTCTATGGAAATTCGTGCACATATATATATACACATATATATATATATAATATGTATAAAAAGCAAAAATATACCGAAAAAAATTACATGTTTGGGTAAATACGAATAATGTACACCTTTAGAAATTGCATAAAAAAAGTATATTATAAAGGCTATCCACCGCGTCAAGTCGCTTAGAAAATACAAATAAAGTCTCCTTTGCCAAGCAATTTTTCATTTAACTATTGTATTATTTTCAAATATGGCGAATCTGTTTATAACATTCAGAAATAAATTTGATTGATATATATATATATATAGATACTTGTCCTTGATAGGGCGATCTCGAAGTTTTGAATCGATTTGACTAACATCTTGATCCTAGACATATATTCTCTGATCGATTTTCATCGATCTAATTTCAAATTAAATATAATCTGCCCACATATATACGTATTTGATGTTCATACATGCATAACGATCCATATTGATGAAATTATACCAGAATGTTACTAACATCACTCATCGTTTATTTACTAATTTCATTATTTATTTCATTCTTATCTTTATTAGACGAAGGAGACGAAGAAAAGCATTGACAATTCATTGTGGATGTTCGACATTGGTCATGGGCACAAGATGAATTTTTGGCCCTTTTTCTGAAGCCCCATACTAACATCATATTTTTAAGCAGAAAATTTTGTAGCACTTATGGTACAACGCTTACCTTTACTTAAGTTATTGAAGAAAACACTTGACCGGTTTTGTGACAGTCAAGATATAAGAGGATCAAATGTACATATTTTAAATGTTATATATATGTACATATATATAGAAAGAGATATCTGTTGTA